AGTCGAAATATGTGCGAGTATCTGCCAGGCCCATTTTCGAGTAGGCCCGAAAACTTTCACCCAATTTTGTAAGCATTTGCAGAGTGACAAGCACTTGAAATTCATGGATCACAGGCGACAAATTGGAGTAATTCGAGTTCGCTCGAGAAATCCAAAGTTATATGTGGTTGTATAGCTGTCGACAATTTCGCCTGCCTCGCTCGAAGCGAAGGTCAACTGAACAAGCAGCCAAGTCGCGAAACTTCACCCAATCGCAGGGTAGCGGAGCATTTCGAAATTTAGCCAGATAATCAGCAAAATTAATATCCAATACGAAACCCGTTCCGGCTGAGACCCCGTTAAGTAAACCGCTCGCCGACAATTGTATAATTTTTGGGCAAAAAGGGCGCGTGCATTGCGCAAAGCAGCCGTTGCCGTTGCCGTTGCCGTTGCCGTTACCAACATCGATGCGATGCCATCGCAGACGTTACAATCCCCAAAAAATAAAAAAGGAACAAGAAAATACAAAAACCACGACCGAAATCTGGTCAAGGTCGATGCCAATTCGATTTTGGGCCACTGTGCGTATACTTGATGATAGCCTAGACAAACACACCGTTAGGCGTCTGGCGCTAAGCGCTAAGCACTCGGCTCAGTAGCTCAATTAACTCCAATTCGATTGTGGTTTTAATATTCACAGTATTTGCTGTTGTTGGTTGTTGCTGTCATTGTTGTTGCTATCTGGCTTTGTTTGCCTTTTAGCCGCCGCCGCCGCCGCCGCCGCACACCACATCCAAAGCGACCGTTGCCTTTACGTCCGTTGTCGTCGCTACCCAGCAGCTGGTTTCGGTGTGCCGATGCTCGAATACCCTATATCAGGAGTCGGACAATGCAGGAAGGGATCTACCGTTACGCTAAAACGTTATTCTTCATTACGTTATTGGAAGTATAATTGTGTCGCATGTAAGATATCTCACAGTTCTATTGTCAGGGTCTCAGTTGGAGATTCCTGATGGATAGAAATGGAAAATACAAAATGGACACGAAAATGGTCAAAAATGAATGTGCTCCTTTCTAGTGTAAGCTCCCCAATGTATGTCTGCGTACTCTATGTCCATGCCTATGCCCATGCCCATGCCCATGCCCATGCCCATGCCCATGTCCATGCCCACGCTCACCGTGTACCCCGAGTCATGGTCCCGGCTTAGTGACAGTGTCGGGCAAATTGCATAACCAAATAACCAAGTCCGGCCGCCGAGCTCTTTGGCTGTAAATGTAATTTAATTTTTGTATTTTCGGTCGGGCACGTGTGCTATCCCCCAGAGTCAGCGGTGGAGTTATCGAAATGGTATTTGGATCCGTTATGAAGGAAGGAGTGTCCGAAAGAGGGCTAGTGAGGATGAACATGAATATGTCCGAGTACACGCAGTACATACATATGTACAATGTGTATACGTATACAGTGAAAGGTCGACAGAGCTTCTGAATAATGATGAGAAAAGCGGGTTCTAGTCGGAGTTTAAAGGGCTTCTACGATTCAGTTCGTAGTTGAATTTTATCTAGCAATCTAGCAGCTGAACATAGGAAACGCACTCGAGTTTAAATTGTTTAAACAAAAAGACGAAATCCACAAGCTCCCCTACGGAGTAACCGCAATATTACGTACTGCTTAATCGAACCATCATTTATCTGGCTTGATTAAATGGGTCAAGTCAATGCTTCGAGCATCTCTACAGATGTTGCTCAGCTTAGGAACGACAGCTCCCTCGTACATCAATAAAGTTGTCCGACGAGTCATCGATGAAGTAATTTTTTGTTAGAAACCCCTCTGTGAGCGAGGGCCCACAGCCCACAGCCCAAACTCCCCAGCATCAATCTCTGGGACCTGGGACCTGGGAGCTGGGACCTGGGGCCGTCAGCAACTCTGACACTTGGTAAGCAATAAATACTTCATAAATTTCTTTCTATTCATGTCCGGCAGTTGGCAGTTTTGTCGGAATGGCCTGGGAATTTTCGCCAACGGACCAGTTGTTGGTTATTGCCAGGCAGTTGGGGCACAGACGAACAGAGGGGGTTGGGGGACGGGGGGATTGGGGGATGGGGGCTGGAAGCCGACAGTGATCGTCCAAGCCAAGAAAGGCGTACGTGACCCGACAAGCACGCTCTACTTGGTCAGTGGATGACTGTCAGTGCAGTTGACCATGATCTGATTGAAAGTCAAAATGGGCTTACGCCCTCAGCAAAACTTCTGCAGGGCATGGCTCGAATACCTGATGCCAGACAGGCAGTCCGGATTTTGGAATGCATTCAGGGCTGTCTCTCTCTCTCTCAGTCATTCCTGGGGCCGGCTCGGATGAACTAATGCTCGTAGGAATAGAAATACAAGAATGATGTGTTGCCTGGACAGTTGTTGTTTGTGGAGGCGCTCATTATACGTTATAGTTGCGGTATTTGTCACGTACGGGCGCCACAACGAGCGCAAAGCAACTAAGAACGCTCAGGCTAGCGCGAAGCCCACCCTCGTGGGACATTCCCCCTGCAGCTGTTACGAAAGGTCGTCCATTGAGACCAGGCCATGTGCTGTGCTCCCTGGGGCTGGAAGTACAAATTCAATCGATCAAATCCTTCCACACTCCCCATTTACTGCTCAGCCAAGCCTCGTTGTTGGCTTGATTTCGCATGCAGTTGGGTGGCTACTCAACGCCAACTGCAATTATCCATTCTCCATCAGCAGTAGGTACTATCAGCAATTACACATTGGTCAGTGGTGGGCCACTGCGCCGTGGGGTAGAAAATCATGAGTGATTGGTTCGCCAGACAAGTTTCGAACCTGGAAGGGGCTTCCATGCTACAAGGATCGCAGTTTGCTTGCTGCGATATGTGGTATATCAATCAGAGCCGCCTCAGTTCCTTCTCCTTGGTGGTGCCTCAACACGACCATCCACCGCAGTGGTTACGTTGGTTGATTGCGTGCGATTCATTTGTTGTCCTCCGAATGGAAATTGATTTATCCTGACCGATACAGCAGTGCTGGCATGTTCGGACTGCCCGCCCACTACCCACTACCTTCGCATTCCATCGATCCGTGGAATTCTGTGGAATCCTGTGTCCTGTACGAGCACGGAAACAGTCAAACATTCTACCTCCCAGGGCCATTTGTAGCTCGGCCGCCATTATTAATTATTACCCAGTATTTCTTACCGCAAAGTATACCCATTCGTCTGAAAAGACGCAATAAACTTCTAATATTAATATATAAATGAAAAATAATAACTGAACTCATATAACTGTTGAACGGAATGGGGTCCTTCAAGGACATTTGAGGTAAATGATATTTTGATATTGAGGTGATATTTTGAGGAAAATTTTTATTTTCAATTCAATTTAAATAAAAATCTGAAAACGATTTTTGTGTCACATTTTGTATTAAAAAAATACTCAGTTCTTAGGATTCCTGATTCTTCTCAGTGTTTTGGTGAGTGGGTGGTATTCATGTAAAAGTTCCGTAGAAGTGTTAGACTTCGAGTAGCAGGTATTTTAAAGTCGTTTTCAATTAATTAAGGTTTGTGGCATCGGCCTAGCTCGAGTCCCCCTCTAGCTAACCGCGTTCCCTCTCACATGGTCCCCCCATGTCATGTGAGGGATCTGCAAATGGTAGGCTTCAGGTCTTCAGTCTCTGTGTCTGACAGCTCAGTGACGGCCAGACCAGGCCAGGCCAGAGCAGGGCTGGCAGGATGGGTGGTTGCTCTGGCTCGCTGGTTACGGAGCTGGAGCTCATCGCATGCTGCAAGGAAATTTATTCCCAGCTCATTAGCTGCAAATGGCCAACCTATGTGGGGGGGTTCAGGGGGGTGCAGGACTGCTGTAATCTCCTGCCAAGCTGCCAAGCCAAGTCCTCTGGTCATTTGCTTGCCTTGTGTCCAACACCCACCCATTTATACAAGCATAGCTGTATAGCTGTCTACCTGTATGGGGTACCATTATTCCGTCTGAGGCCATCTCTGAGCTAATGACGACGCAAAGTCAATCTGGCAGGTAATCAATTAACTTCTGAGCTCGACTTCGACTTCGGCACCGGCTCCGGCTCCGGCTCCGGCTCCGGCTCAGGGTTCGGGTTCCTTCTACGGTTTCAGAGGGAGCGGGGGTGTTTTTGGGCCATGCAAATGCCGTCTGTGGTGATTATTAAGTGAATTCGGTGTGTGGTTTCTTTGATTTTATTTTAATTTATTTGCATAAAAACATTTAGAGACGACCATATTGATATTAGAATACTCGTAATTGCAATTGTCAAGTTCGTTGAAGTGTACAGGAGCAAAAGAATTCACATATGTCTTATATAATATGTATTTGTGTCTGTCTGTGTGGGTGGGGTAGGTGGTTCAGTGGTTGGGTCTGTGTGTGCATGTACATATATATGTATGTATATGTTCCTTGCAGGTTGCACTTATTTTAGAATACTAATTACATTTAATGCATTTTCAGCTACAATCAACTACTTAAAATTGAATTTGACATTTATTTGAACGAAAGAAACGTTGTTGTTTGTGTTTTTGTTTGGTTTTTTTTTTGCTGTTGATTGACCCTAGAGCGGCCCATCCAACTGTGATTTATCTATGCATGAATCTATATATGTATGTAAATATTTATGTTTATGTTTACCCTGTAATTTCAGCCTGCGACCAGCCTTGCACCACCCCCCATGGGAGGTCGGAGGTTGGAGGTTGGAGGTTGGAGGTTGGTTACATGTCAAATGCATGCTTCAGTGAAACCTGGCTGTGCGTGACAATAAGTAAAAGTGTTCGCTCTCAGCGGAAGGGGTACGGGAAACGGTTAACGGGAAACGGGAAACGGGGTAAGAGCAATACCTTTAGTGGCTAAATAGGACACTTTAACAACGCTGTATTACCCTTGGGTCCTGTATTTCCTTTGATTTATTGATTGATTGATTGATTGCATACACACACATACGAAATACATTAATGAATGTATAGGAAAACGTGTAGCAGGTGTAAGCAGGGGTTAAGTCTAACAATTCACATTTAACAACTCGAATGATAGTAACTCTAGATTCACATTTAAAACATTAGTTGCACATATTGTATGCATATTTAGTAACAGCGGGAAGGGGGGGGGGGACGCCCATGCGTAGAAAAGATATCCATCCGTCTATCCACGCACATTTACATTCACAACGCGGTAGAGCCGTTGACAACCACAGTTCCTTTAGTTTCAGTTTCAGTTTCGTTCACATTGCATCATCACATATTTTGCTGCCTGTTGGGTGGACACCTCGTAGGGACATACTCGTACTCGCTCCTACAGCGACTCCGTCTCCATTACCTTTAACTGGCGCCGCTCGGACTCCCTGCAACGAGCGGCGGCTCAGAGGCGAGGACTCTCCAGAATGGTGTGGCTGGACATGACCGAATTGGCCAGGGCAATCGAGTTTCCGGCCACGGACAGGTTGGTCTCGTTCTTGGAACGTCGCCGCCAGAAGCATAGGCGGCCCCCATCGCACATCCGCACCTTGAAGGTGTCCACGAAGGCGCGTCGGAAGCTGGCGTTCATGAAGCAGTAGGTGATCGGGTTGCAACAGCTGGATGAGTAGGCCAACAGTTGCAGGAAGCTGATGGCCGTGTAGTCCACATACTCGTACACCACAGGTCCGATCAGCATCGTCATCGTGTTGATCACGTACAGCGGCGTCCAGCAGATGAAGAACTCCAGGACTAGCACGAACAACATCTTCACTACCCGCTTCTTACTCTCCAGGCTCTTGCTCTCGTTCGAGCGGCGTGGCACGATGCTAAAGGTAAAGGGGTACATTCAAATTGGTTAATGCGGCTAGTGCAGCTCAAGAGGATGCAGGGGAGGATGACTTACCTTCGCAGCCCCGCTTCTGTGATGCGCAGGCTGGGCTGCGACAGCGATTTGCGCCGCGACTCATCATTGCCCATGCCCATGCAGATCTGCTGGTGCTGCAACTGATGCCGCAGCCGTTGGGCCCGACTGCAACAGTCGCCTCCACCTCCACCACCGCCACCGCCACCGCCCCCGCCGCCGGCACACCCGTTGATCGGCGGGAGCTGAGAGTGCTGCTGCTGCTGCCGCAGGGACTTCACGGATGCACTGCGCATGCAGTAGAGATGCCTGCGCCCTTCGCAGGCGCCCCCAAGGAGCTTCCTCTTGCTGCCGCCATGGGAGTAGCTGTCCGCTGCGGAAGAATCAGATTTGAAGAATATAGAATATACTCGTATAGTTAACTGCCTAAATCACTTACACAAAGTGTATGCCTATTGCATGTACCTACAGTACATCAATCACAGCACTTAATGAATGAATATAGTCGTAGAAACTAGCATGCGGCTAACGACTCCACGAAAGTGGAAAGTTCTCCAGCACGCAACCAAAATGTGAAGACACTGAACATGCAATCAGTGCAGTCACGATGCAATCCCACAATCCGACAATCCGGCAGTCTGGTGCTTGAAGCGAACACGTATAAGCACTGCGAGGCTCGGCTGAGTGTTCAGTCCCATCTGGAATCGATTCGATGCTGCTGCTTCTGCTACTCCTGTTACTGCTTCTGCTTTTCTTTTTGGGGACCCTGTGGCGACGACTGGCCTGGTCAAACAGCCACTGGCGACGCCGCGTAGTGTCCGGTCCCCAAGGCTGCCCGCTGGTGGGCAACATGGCCAGCTTTGCTCTGGGTCAGCGGTCATATGGCGAGGTCTACGAACAAATATACAGGTGAGCAGCAGCGGCATCAAGTGACTCAATCAACCTTAGCCGTAATCGGATCAGACAGCATCCAGAACTGCGCTACGTGGGCTTCTATCGTCTGTTCAATGAGCCCGCCATACTGGTGAGGGACCAACGGCTGGTGCGGGAAGTCCTCGTTGGAAACAGCTTTCTGCACTGTGCCGACAACGCCGTTAATGTGGACGCCCAACGCGATGTCCTTGCCACCTGCAATCCGTTTATTGCCAGCGGCGATCGCTGGCGGATACTGCGCGCCGACCTGGTGCCCCTCTTCACTCCCAGCCGGTTGCGTCAGACGCTCCCCCACGTAGCTGCAGCTTGCCAGCAATTGCAGGAGTTTGTCGCAAGGCGTCTGACCGGCGAGCGTTTCGAGGCGAAGGCGCTGGCCACCCGATACACGCTCCAGGTGATTGCCTCGGCCGTCTTTGGCCTGGATGCCCATTGCCTCTGCCTCTCTGACGAAGATCAGGAGGAAGGAAGCCAGTGGCTGCAGAGACTGCTGCCGCTCTTTCAACCCAGTGCGTGGAGCCTGCCAGAAACCATTGCACTGTTGCACTCGTCGCGCCTCGCGAACATTCTGCAACATCGGTGGGTAAGGACATAAATCTTGTGTTCATTCAACTAGTTGTTTGGAGATATTATTTGAGGGGGCACACTCACGGCTTAGCTCTACGCCTTCAACATTTCAGCTACGTGCCTCTTTCACTGCAGGACTGGCTCTGTGATCTGGTGCGAGCCAGGAGCGGAGCCAACAACTTTCTGCACTGGCTCGGGGACAAGCAGGGAGAACAAGGAGACCTGGCGGGACACGCCACCACCCTGCTGCTCGAGGGGTACGAGACTTCGGCCATGCTCCTCGCATTTGCCCTCTACGAATTGTCTCGCAACGAGTCCGCTCAGCGTCGTGTGCAGACGGAACTGGAGGAGGTGGCACAGCGGCATGGCGGTCTTCTCATGGGGCACGCCGCGCTGGCGGAGCTGAGGTATGCGGAAGCTGCCCTCCTTGAGACACTGCGCCTGCACCCGGCCATGCAGGCACTGCAAAAGCGCTGCACCAAATCCTTTACCTTGCCACCACAAAGGTCGGACACGGACACGGCTGTTGGAAGTCATGGCAGCATTCAGGTTGCCTTGGGTACGGTCTTGGTGGTCCCAGTCCAGGCCATACATATGTAAGTCTCTCAACCCACAAGCAGCACCAATCTAGATATTTGTACAGCAATCTTTCCTTTTCTCAGGGACCCGAATCTCTATTCCGATCCGCTAAAGTTCCAGCCAGAGCGCTTTATGAACACGTCTCCGATGGGCTGCCGTTTCCTCGGCTTCGGGGCCGGACCTCGTATGTGCCCGGGTATGCGGCTGGGACTGGCCCAGACAAAGGCGGCACTGGTTACCCTGCTCCGGGACTACTCCTTCTCTCTCGCAGATCAAGCTCAAGATCCGTTTCAGGTCTCGCCGCTCACCTTCCTGACGGCCAGTAAGCACGGAATTTGGCTGCAGCTCCAAAAGCGCTAGCGCCGCGCCGCGCCGCGCCGTGCCGCGTAACTCCTTTTTCTTTTTGTCTGTCCTTCTTCCAATTAAATAAATCAATCTCTAGGAAATCATTGGCGGATCAGCTGGGTTGGGACCCCAAAACTTATACTAACGCCAGCCTGAAGTGGGGGCACAAATGAGTTTGAGCGCGCAGTGGCAAGCAATACGGGGCTGGCTCTAATTACATGGCACTAGGATATGCAAATTACCAGCTCGGATCTGGTGGGGGGCATCTGCCGATGCATATACTGACTCGCGGGACGGGCCCAGACCATGGCAATTTACGGCGAAATTATCAAGGCAGTGCCCGTAAACGAAGCGAAAAGATTAAAAATTAAATCAAATTTATTGTCACATGCCATTCGCCATTCAACAGTCGCCATTCGAGTCTGAAGGAAGTATGTGAAAATGTGCAACCCCTAAATTTGGATGCCCAGCAGCGGGATGAAGGCCCTTAACGAGCGCTTAAATGCTGTCTCGTGCATAATTTACAGCACTTAACTTGACCCTTTTTATTTGGGACGGAGAACGGAGAACGGAGAAAGGAGACCGAGGCGATGGTAGCTTCTCGATTGTGAAGGTCCTGGTCCCTTCCCGAGCAGGAAGAGGAGGTCAACCACCTAAGCAGGATACGAGTACGAGCGGAGCCAGCAGCACTCAAACGACCTCAACCGACTGTCCTGTGTCTCATGTGCTGCGATAATTCATTCTAATTCCGAGGGAGGACACAGCTCCGAAATACAAGTAAGGTCCTATGCTAATGCGCAATTTTCATTTTCCATCCTTGGAACCCACATACAGAGACTTTATCGAGTCTGGCCTGCTATTCCTTGAGGACTCAACATGGAACCCCTTCATGCAAATGAGCCCCTGTGGGAGGTCGCTACCATCACGTGCCCAAAACGCGGTTGATGGCCGGAGCCACAAGCCTTTAGATCTCTAAGATGTTAATTGGACAGTTGTGGGGCGGCGATGCACAGGAGCTGGTAATATTTGATGACGACAGCTCGTTGTATGCTGTGCAACAAGTTTGCCAAAATTTCTCCAGAGAATCGTTGACTGGAATCTCGGGAGATTTACTGTACCGGCGGCACATTCACATCAATTCACGTGTGCACTCATAAAACACGTCGCGTCAGTTCCAATTCAATAAAGTGTGGTCGGTATATACTGGACTTTGCTGAATACATTGTAATACATGGAAATGGAAAGAACGCTGTGTGGGTTGGGTTGGTAGGGTGTTCAAGGGGAAACGAATTAAAGCCGAATTGGAGGAATCGATTTGCTGGAGTATCGGTGCCTTTTCTTCAAGCACAATCATCGGATTATGCTTATTTGCATTGAGAGAAGCAGACAGCCAGCATCAGCCATCACCGATGGGGAAGCGCTATTTAATCTGTCAAAGTGAATGTAAATGAATGTCGAAATGCTCGAAGCCTTCGCCCAGTTATTGCCTCTGCACGCATTCTTGGCAACACTTCTCTAAAAGTTCTCTTCTCTTTTCGCCTCGACACTTCAGCAGCCCCTCTCTCTCTATATCTGGCTCATTCACACTCATTCCGTTATGGCTGCCTCGGGCCCCAACGCCATTTCGGCTCTGCTATCGCATCCACTGGGGGATGTGATGGGAACGCATTTCGTGCGTGGCAAACTTTGCATGTAAATTGTGTATGACGCAGGCTGGGGGCAGAGACTAATCCCGAATGGCATCCTGCCGGGAACAGTCCCCACTAATTTAAGTTTGACTTGTGGCATGGCACGGCACCTCTGCTGCAATCTTTGAACGCTTTGTCACTCACCGTAGTAGTACTGGGGAGTGCCGAACTGCTGCAGCTGCTGCTGCTGCTGCTGCTGCTGGATCCCTGTTTCCTGGGACTGGCTGTGGCTGCCATTGGAGCGCCTCTGGCTGCTGCCGGCCGGACCGAGGCCGGGCACTTCAGGTCCACTGCTGCCGAAGTTCATGGCCCGCTCGTTCCGCATGCTCACGTATAGGGTGCGGGTGATGAACAGATAGGTGAAGCTCAGCGCCAGCAAGGGAAGGACGAGGAGGGCCAGGTCCAGGAACAGGTTGTAAGCCCGCTCGTAGTTCAGGCTGTCGGCGGGCCACTGCTCGCGGCATTTGCGTAGCCCTGAAAGAACAATCAGTCAGGTCAGTGCCATGCGGTTCATTGCTGTTGGTTTTTGGCTCTTAGTTCTCGGTTGTTTTGGCCCTGGCTCTGGCGAGACACTCACCTGGGCGACTGGTCGGCATCAGCTGGCTGAAGAGCGCTATGGGGGTCATGCAGAGCAGGCTGCCCAGCCAGATGATGGCGATAATTTTGTTGGCGTGGTTGATCGTTTGCCAAGTCCGCGACCTCAGCGGATGGCAGATGGCGTAGTAGCGCTCGCAGGATATGGCCACCAGGGTCCACGAGGATACGGCCACAGAGGCGGCTGCAAAGAAGCGGAGAAGCGGAGAAGCGGAAATGAACAATTACATGAGCGAGAAACTTGATTTGATAAAATCATGGGCCCTCCCTCGTGTTTCGAATAATTATTTATCTGTTTTATGGGCATCCATCTGTAAAGTTTTCACTTTTATGCCGCTCATTTTCGGGATATTGATGACATTTCCGAATAGGCATGCGACCACCATCCTCCGTTCTCCCCATTAAATTGTATTCGCTGAATATTTGGCAATTGTCACGCTTGGCCCGGGCTTTCAATGAAGAAAGGACCCAACGCCATTCAACGCAAACGGAGGAATAATTAAAATGTTAATGTCTTTTTCGGTTTTGGTTTTGGTTTCGACTTGTGCCCCGAAGCTGTGCCTCGTGTTTCGCCCTAGAGGATTCTGATGCTGATGTTGGCGGCACTGATACCTAAAGCGGAGCATGCCGGCGGATTCTCTAATGAACCCACGGAAGAAGAAAGGCATTTAATCAAAGTGGCAACTGTTGTCGCAATGGCAGCCCCCAGTCCGCAGGCCCCAGCTCCCAGCCCCCTTTCCATTTCCATAACCGAGCTTAAAGCGGATGTGACTCCCGCTTACGCCAATATCCCAATGCTAATCCGAGTACCAGCAGTCCCAAAGCTACGAGTATTCGCCATCAGCATCAAGAAGGAGCATAATAAAAGCCAACGCCAACACAGCTCGCATAGCTCTGCTCTGCGAATGGGTTTCATTTCGTCGTAGCCCAGGGATGGGATGATGAAACAGGCCAAGCTCATTAACCAAATTAAATTTAGCTCTGTCGCAGTCGCTTGGCTGCGGGTCCACGGGGTCCACGGACAGCACACCCTTTTACGCATACCCGTACCCACGGACATCATCAGAATATGCGGCTCAGTGCTCAGAGGCCGAAACAAAAATGGCAATTTTATGGAAATTTTGAAAATAGAATCTAGACCAAACCGAGAACCGAAGCGTGCGGGAACGGAACGGAACGGAACAATGAAATGAATGAAGCAAAATAGCCCCCTGCTCGCAGAAGAGGGCCAAGTGCCCCACCTATTTACTATGTACTATGGGCAAAATTTCTGTTCTTTCGGTTTTTAATCTAGATTTCAACTTCAAGTTAAATTTTGAAATGTAGGTACTATTTTTTGTAATTTTTTTGTTTTAATCTGCATTTTGATCTGCATTTAAATTTTAATTCCACACATTGTTTTTGAGTAGGGGTAATAGGGTCCGCGTCCTATAGTTCTATAGTTCTATAATATAATCTATAATATTCAAACTATACGAAACTACATATATTAAAAGGTATTCTCTGAGAGAATTTCCATAAATATTTTATTTTGGATCATACTGTTATAAAACACATCGGTCTATCAGACAATAAAACTATTACCAACACTTTGACCGTTAGTAAATAATTTAAAAATTCTGAACAACAAAAACAGACGAACATTGCCCATAGTGCAATGGCGGAATGGGAAATTGAAAAACATTGTTGAGGAGCACTCGACGCTGGCCATAAATACGAGTACCATGTCGTACGAGTATGTCGGTTTCCTGATTGAATGAACGTCAACAAGAGTCGAGAGCATTGACTTGGACATAACTAATATTTGGGTAAAATATCCTGCAGTTCCGCTGCTCAGCGATTGGTATGCTTTCCCCGCCAATTCGCATTCCCTTTCATGACACATAAATCGCACAAGTCGCCGTTTACCTGCCAAAAATTCCTCTTTTGCTCTTTTTATTTAACTTTTTTTTCTGTTTCTATTGTCGCAGCCACAAAATAGGCAAAAACCAGAGGAGCCAGGCAAAGTGCTTATGCGAGTTCGAGTATGTCAGCTGCAGAGGAATCCACGAGTCTGAGCTTTGATTTACAGATTGAGGTTTGGCCATCGGTAGAGCCTCCATGAAGAGCCTCCTCTGCGCCCCAGTGTATCAGGCTTTGTGGATTTATATTCCCCATTCCGTTCAAAGCAAACCCTGGCAGCCCGAAATTGTATGCTCAGCGGGTTCAGGTGCTCAGGTGTTCAAATCCATCTTGGGTCAGCAAATCACAATTCTCCGACAGAGTCGCACAGCTTTGTTTTCCCTTGTGGTTGCCCCTCGACTTTTTGGTCCACGCTCCATGCTATATGGACAAACTTCAAATGACTTTTTCGTGCAGAAAAATGTATGTACTCGTAAATATGTACATAGCTTCAGCTTCCCATGAGTGTTTGTCGGTGAATATCGCATTGGAAATTGTCGAAAGTGTATTCCGTGCTCCGATTTTCTCGCCGTGAGTCTAACAATTAAGGCATTTTGTTTCAAACGAATGTGAGCCTGGGGTGAGAGCTGTCCGACTCTGTAATTGTATCTTTCATAATATATTGCATTTGTTTCCTCAGTTTTGACTCCCGCAGGCAATCCAAGCTGCACAAACACATGCGTACTCTCTGTCTGCCACCTTTGACATTTTTAATGCTGCAAGCAATCCAATCCCACATCCAATTAAATCCAATTAAATTAACAGGCCACACCCCTGTCTAAAAATCCAATTGTAATTGCAGGCCGTCTTCGGAATTATATTTCGAGCCATCGCCCACGGAGTGGGAGATGCAGCCTTGGTTTAAACGGATATTTCATAGAGAATACATTTGTTTCACGGGTTTCATGGCTTCTTATTGTGCTGTGGGTCAGCGTGCCGGCGATGAATCCCGTTTGGCAGCTATGCAATTTGGTGGGCTTCAGCAGCAGCCCGACCAGGAGCTGAATGCTGCTACTCCTGTTGCTCCAGTTGCTCCTGTTGCTGTTTGTTTTTGATCTCTTTCAGATTTTTGCACTCTCGACGGCTGTCGGGTCAATTTTCCAACTCAAAAGTGGCATCTAATTAAGCCGGAAACCGCAAAAGTAGAACCAACAAGACCCCAGGGATGCGCATCAAACGGACTGGACTGGATTGGAGTCCAATTTCGTGCGGATGGGCAGAGGTCTGGGTCTGACGGACAGCTGCAACTCACTTGCCGAAGAACGGTGGCTGCTTGTGAAACTCGTGCCTCAGGGCAACAGTACATGAAGATGCTGACCCATCTCTGGTGCTGGAAAGAAAAGTTTCTGAACCGCATCTAAATAAGATAGAGCATCGAGTGCGGTCGTTCAAAGAAAGCCTTGCCCTGAATGAGTGCACGACAGAGCAGAGCTTCTTATTTGGGATTCCGGATTCCGAAACCAATAGAATAATTTGAGTGGCAATCGAAAATCGGCCAGACTATACCGGAGTCGGAATCGGAATCGGAATCGGAATCGGTGTATGGATTATAATTGCTTTAGATCCCACCTGATGTTTTCCAGCTGACTGCTGTTCTGGCGGACTGAATTTCGAAACGAATCCCAACAGCAAATAAGCGCAAACATGGAAGGGAGAGCAGTGTGTTGGGCTACTAGCTGCAGGTATCAGCAAACGTGCTACCGCAAAGCGTGCTGTGGCTGGCAGCATCATTTGCGTAGTCATAATTCCTTGCCACAGGTTTGTGTCCGTTTTTATGAGCAGTAAACATCAGCAGTAAACACATGATAACTATAAATAAGCTGTGGAAAAATACCTAACCACTCTGTGGGGAGTTTGAAGGCTATCGCTCTACAATATCTGCCACCGGGTCACTTAGCTGCTATTTATGAGAAGTGCATTAGAAGGCGCTTTAAATACAGTATAATGTTAAAGGCTTTTCCAGACCGGGGAGTTATGTGCTTAAATATAAACTCTGTGCAGACATAGACACGGATTATCTGCGTCCGATTGCTGCGTATCCGCATAAACCAATCCACTTGGATCCAGCCATCATAAATACATAATGTAATTTATTTGCGAAAATTGCAATACAACAGCTTCATAAATTATTTTTATCAAATTTGAAATGACTTTAAGTGTTAGATGCAAATCGATTTCATCCATGGCCCATTTCAATTTCCATGCTCATGCCCATATCCGTTTCCATTGACATTGCCACTTTCAATCCCACCCAAAATTTGAATGCGAATCCGAATCAGTGTGCGGAATCTAAATCAAAATCAAAATCCAAATCCAAACCCATCTTCCTCTCCATTCTTCCCCCCCCTCTGGTCGTTCGTTTTTGATTTAGCGCCCGTTTTCCTCTCAATGACAATGAGTCCATATGTCCTGCTCGCACTGCCAAATGGCACTTCCCTGCCAGTTACATAGCTCCCAGCCATAGCTGAAAGTGGATTTTTATGGACTAGTCCCAATGTTTGTGCCTCCTGCGCCTCCCCTGTGCGTGGCAGAGTCTCCAATAAAAATAATTCCAAATTTGAGACAACAATAAAAAATTGGCTGGCTGGGCAAAACTTTGGCCTGTCGACGAACGACTCAAGATTGAAATGAAACAAAAAAAGGCAGAGAAATGAGCCCGAACTCAATTCAGCCTCATTTCTCTCTATAAAAAGTGGAGGGTGCGACTTTCGACTTATGTTTGCTCTGTGCCCATCAGGACAGGACCAGGAGGACAATCAATCACTCTGATGCTCGGAAGCTAGGATGCACTTCCTATGGTGCCCATCAACCAGGAGGGAGCAAAAACTAAATACTGAACATAACAGAACGAACACCCGACTGTCATGGCAGGGATGAAAAAGCAACATTCGAATGCTCCCACTGGCAACGGGTATCGGATCGTCGGTCCTTGGTCATTGGCAGCAGAATCGCTCATTCCCCATTCCATTTATTTTTATTGTGTGTGCTTTTTCTGTTTGAACTTTGCCTGCTGCTCGTCCTGCAAAATTCTGAAATTATATAAAATATTGGGCCCCATTGTTTTTTTACGTTTTAATACAGAAAGTTATTGCTAACCGAAGGGAGAGCACCAACTGTGACGCCCCACGACCCTACCCCCTAGCTCCACGACCTGCGGCTGGAGAGCAGTCAAAGGACATCGATAGGGCGGGGCCGGGGCCGATAGGGCTGACGTCGGGACTGGGGCATCGTTATTTTATTTTG